TCCATCCTTGCTTCTTGTCCTGCCCTCAGGCGCTTTGGAAAATAGCTTGACTGCCTCTTCTTTGGGGCAGCCCCTGAGATATTGGAACACGGCTATCATGTCACCCTTCGTCCTTCTCTTCATTAAACTAGACATACCCAATTCCAGCAACCGTTCCTCATATGTTTTAGCCTTCAGTCCCCTAATCATCCTTGTTGCTCTTCTCTGCACTCTTTCTAGAGTCTCAGCATCTTTTTTACATCATGGTGACCAAAACTGGATGCAGTATTCCAAGTGTGGCCTCACCAAGGGGTTGTAAAGTGGTATTAACACTTTATGTGATCTTGATTCTATCCCTCTGTTAATGCAGCCTAGCACTGTGTTGGCTTTTTGGGCAGCTGCAGCAGACGGCTGGCTCCTATTTAAGTGATTGTCCACTAGGAATCCAAGGTCCCTCTCACAATTACTACTATTGAGCAAGGTACCCCCTATACCAGTGGTGGCGAACCTATGGCACGGGTGCCAGAGGCGGCACTCAGAGCCCTCTCTGTGGGCACGCGCACCGTCGCCCCAGTCCTAGGCCTTCAACTGGGTTTTATAAAATCTTTTCGCTTTAGGCCTCCGCTGCCGTGTGCAAAAAAAAAAAAAAAAGGTTCAATCAATCAGTCAATTTCAACTTCTCAGGGGGGAAAAAAGATCTTGCAAAGTTGGCCGTTACCACCACAGCCACGCCCACCCAATGGGCCACACCCACCCAATGCGCCACACCCACCCGGCACCCGAAGATGCATAAGTGGGTTTTGGGTTGCAGTTTGGGCACTCGGTCTCTAAAAGGTTCGCCATCACTGCCCTATACTATGCCTATGCATTTGGTTTTTCTTGCCTAAATGTAGAAACTTACTTTTTTCACCATTGAATTTCATTTTGTTAGAGAGCACCCAATGTTCAAGTCTGTCAAGATCCTTCTGTCTCTTAAGCCTGTCTTCCGGAGTGTTGGCTATTCCTGCCAGGTTGGTGTGGTGTGATATGGTGCTGTGGTGTTTGTAAATGCAAGGATCAGTTGCAAAGTACAGGCAGTCCTCAACTTGCAACCATTCATTTAGTGACCGAAATTACAACGGCACTGAAAAAAAATGACCTATGACCATTTTTCCACACTAAGCATCCCCAGGGTCAGGTGACCAAAATTCAGTTTGCTTGGCAAATGGCATGTACTTATGATGGTTGCAGTGTCCTGGGGTCATATGATCACCACTGGGTCACCTTCCCAGCCAGCTTCTGACAAGCAAAGTCAATGGGGGAATGCCTGATTCCCTTAATGACCAAATGATTCACTTATAACAACTGTGGCCAGTAAGGTCGTAAAATGGGGCGGAGCTCACTTGGCCACTGTTTCGCTTAGCAACGGAAAATTGTGGGCTCAGTTGTGGTTGTAAGTCGAGGACTCCCTCTTTAAGGCCTCGTTACAGAGAATCCTCGACTTGTGACTGGACAAAGTTACAACAGACCTACCTGGGAGTTATTTATGAGCCTGATTCAAAGTTCCAAAAGTCACACACACACAGACACCCACATCATGTTAATGAACTTCAGGCGCTTGTCAATCCGGTTCATTTACGGTCATTTGTACTGTCCCCCATGACTGTAATTTTACCTCAAAACTGACATTAACTTCTTAGTTTAGGCTAAAAAAACCACGCCCATTGTTTTATGGCCATCGCAAAAAAGATCATAAAATAGGGCTGGTCACATGTGTGACCCATTTTATGACCATGAGAGGGCAGGTTCCAATACAGTCATAACTTGAGGACTGCCTACACTTGAGGGACCCCATATCTCCCCGTCAATTTGATGTGACAGGGTTGATGCACCCTGGTTCCTTCGATTAAATCAGGGGTCTTCAAACTTGGCCCTTTTATGGCTTGTGGACTTCAACTCCCAGAATTCCTCAGCCAGGCACGCTGGCTGAGGAATTCTGGGAGTTGAAGTCCACAAGTCATGAAGGGGCCAAGTTTGAAGACCCCTGGATTAAATAATACCATCTCTTGGGACCCCAGAAAGCCATTATCTGTAACAGTCCCTGTATTCAGAAGTGAGGTTCCCCCTCACCCCAAGATCTAGATACACACACACACACACCACTTTGCTGTTGTTCAGAAGATCAGACAAAACTTCATCCTGGCCTCGAGCGAGGGACAACAAGACTAACCATATTTTATCCATTTTTCCCCCCTATCTTTTTAATCGGTTCTATTGCAATTTCCTTATATGGTTTTTATTCATTTCTTTCTTTACTCGTTCATTCAATTTCTATAGCCGCCCCACTCAAGCAAGCAACTTTGGGCAGCCTGCAATTTTAAAGTTCTGAAACAATTAGAACCATTTTAAAAGATATTAAAACCATTTTTTAAAAAATCCGCAAAATAAATCGGTGTAAACAAACAGCAGCCAGGATGATGGTGGTTAAGTCTCTCAGAATCGTTTGAAAGTCGGGCGATATAGATCTTTCATGATAAGTTAATAAAACAAATAAACTTCCCAATTTGGCACAAATATATTTTTGAGGGTGGGATGTATCATCCTGGAGACGGGAGAAAACCAAGCAGGACTCAGGATAGTTTCTCTTGACTATCACAGTCCTCGATTTACGATGGTGGTTAAGCGATCGTTCAAAGTTACCACGGACCTTCCTCGGACTACGGAGAGTCCTCAACTTGCAACAATTCGCTTAGTGACCATTCAAAATTACAATGACACTGAAAAAAGCAACTTAGGACCATTTTTCACTTACGACAGTTACAGCATCCCTGTGTATCAACATTTGGACTATGAAAACTGGCTCATAATTATGGCGGTTGCAGCGTCCCGGGGTCACGTGATTCCCCCTTTTGCCACCTTCTGACCACCAAAGTCAATGGGGGAAGCCAGATTCACTTAACAACAGGGTTACTAACTAATCAGCCACAGTGATTCGCTTAACAACCGTGGCAAGAAAAGTGGTAAAAGGGGGCAAAAACTCACTTAAACAAATGTTTCACTTAACAACAGAATGTCTGGGGCTCAATTGTGGTCGTAAGTCAAGGACTATCTGTCCTTACCACCTGGGTTTGAAGCCCCAACAGCTGCTTCACACCTCCTGTGATCACATGATTACAAACTGGGCACTTGGCAACTAGCCTGCATTTACCGATTTATTTTTGGTGCAAAAGATCCATTAAGGCAGCGGTTCTCAACCTATGGGTCGCGACCCCATTTGGGGTCGATCGACCATTTCACGGGGATCGCCAAGCAAGGCTGTCCGGCGCTCCCGGGCAGGGAAAGTCCTCGACTTACGACCGGTTGGGTAGTCCTCGACTTACGACCGGTTGGGGTCGCGGCATTAAAAAGGTTGAGAACCACTGCATTAAGGGCTTATTTTTTTAGGGGATGTCTTATTTTTCCATGTACAGGAGGCGGCGAACGTGCGGGGGCCGAAGGCATCCAACAGCAGCCGTAGCCCGCCGGCCCCTTGGTTAGTGCACTCTGGGGCTGTGAAGTGTGCGAAGCCTGTGCAGTTGAGGTGAATGGGGGCATTGCTACCGCTGGGCTGGCAGGAGGCGGGGGGTGGACTGCCCCACGTGTCCCACACCCGTGCACATCAGGGCCCCCACAGCCAGGCCACCCATGCCCAGCCACCTGTCTCACCGCGGTGGCACCAACACACCTGCCTTGTTGTAGCCACGGGCAAGCAGACGGTGGGATGGAGTGGGCTGCCGGCCAGCCATGCAAGCTCTTAACTGGGGCTTATTTTTAGGGTAGGGCTTATATTAGGCACATGCTAACAATCATGCTATGGCTTATTTTCTGGTTGGGGTCTTATTTTCAGGGAAATACAGTGTATGACCACGAATTATAACATTTTTTTTTGCTGTAACCACCTTTTACTTCCAGTTTCCAGCCAAAAATGTCCATTGCAGACAATGGATTCACTTTATTCACTTGCAATAAAGACTGTTAAATCGGTCCCGATTATGTAGTGATCTGCTTAAGGGCCAACATGCCCTCTGACCGTAATTCCAGGCTCAATTACGGTCATAAGTCGAGGACCACCTGCATTCACGTCCAAGAGACGGTGCTGTAGGGAAGACAACCCGGTTTCTATTTTCTTGGCATGGAAAGAACAAGCCTCGGTTGCAGCACTCCCAGATTTTGTTTAAAATAAGAAAACGACTTCTTCAGGGTGGGCAAGAGTGGAACAGCCTTGGAACGACAACATTGTGGGTTCTCCCATCTCGGAAAGGTTTTGTGAAGAGGCTGGACAACCACCCACCTCTGGAGGACGGTTTCACTGACTTGCCTCGCACTGCTGGGAGTTGGACTAGATCAGCGTTTCTCCATCTCAGCAACGTTAAGACAGGTGGACTTCAACTCCCAGAATTCCCCCCACCAGCACCCCAATGGTGCCCGAAACCTGGAATGTTTTGCACAGAATCCCGGAATAGTGGACCTGGAAGGTACCCCAAAGATCATCTCTAGCCCAGCCTTCTGCACTGTGCAGGGAAAAAAAAATAGAATCCTAAAACAGTGGATTTGGAAGTCACCCTAAAGATCATCTAGTCCAACCCCCTGCATTTTGCAGGATAAAAAAAAAAAGAATCCTAAAATCGTGGAGTTGGAAAGTTCCTTAAGGGTCATCTAGTCCGGCCCTCAGGAGTCTGCAGAAAAAACAGAATTCTAAAATAGTGAAGCTGAAAGGCACCCTAAAGATCATCCAGTCCAACCCTTGTGCTCTTCCAGAAAACCAATCCAGCCACCCTTGAGAAGGGGCGATTTCTCTCTTAAAAACCACCAGTGCTGTAAACTCCCAACACCTACAAGCAAAGTTGTGTCATCTTGTACAACTCCCAGCGACGGAAAGTTTCTCCTTAAACACAGTGATGTGTACCAGGTAACAAATGACCCATATTCCCCAGGAATCACAACAGTCTCTCTGGACAACAAAAAAACCCTCAACAAGAGACAGAAAAGGGAGCCCTACGTACCCCGATTGCCACATTCAGTTCTGTCACCGTCACCTGCTTGGCCCGTTCCACTGCCTGGACCACTTGTTGTTGGTGCTACAGAAAAACAACAGGGGTGAGAAACATGATTATCACCTACAAAACTTTGGATGCTCTGTGTTTATTTTAAATCATCATAGTGGTGGATTTATCACTTCCTTACGTCCAAGATGCCCATAGTCACTTTACACACTAGAACTCAGTCTCCAGGTGATTGGCTAAAAGTCACCACTTTTGAGTTCTAGTCACCAAGGCGGGACTAGAACTCATAATCTTCTGGTGATTATCCCAAAGTCAACCAGCGGGCTCTCATGCCTAAGGCGGGACTAGAACTCACCATCTCCTGGTGATTGGCCCAAAATTACCCAACTAGCTCTCATGCCTAAGGCGGGACTAGAACTCACCATCTCCTGGTGATTGGCTAAAAGTCACCCAGTTAGCTTTCATGCCAAGGCGGGACTAGAACTCATAATCTCCTGGTGATTATCCCAAAGTCACCCAGCGGGCTCTCATGCCTAAGGCGGGACTAGATAGCCAGCATCGGTCCTGGCTATCTCCGAGACCGCCTCCTGCCGCAGATTCCCTCCCACAGGCCGGTACGCTCCCACAGAGCGGGCCTCCTCAGGGTGCCGTCGGCCAAGCAATGTCGGCTGGCGACCCCCAGGGGGAGGGCCTTCTCTGTGGGTGCCCCCACCCTCTGGAACGAACTACCCCCCGAGATCCGGACGATTCCGGA